GAATCCCAATATAAAAATGAATAAAACTAGGCAATTTATTGAAAGTCAAATCTGAATTAGCAAGTATATGAAGAGATGACCAACTCTTGACTCTTGATGAATTGGCAAAAATTAGAGGGAAGCCAACTATTAATAAGACACAGGAAGATGGGCAGTCTGTGCACTGCTGATGGGAGTGTACACTGGTACAGCCATTTAAGAGAGCAATCTGGGTGTACTTAGTAGAAATCAATATGATCCAGTAACCTATTCCAGGGATGCATCCCAGAGACACTTGAGCCTGGGTTCATAAGGGGACAGGCACAAAGATGTTCATTGTACCGGCAGGTTAGTGGCAACTGGGTGTGCACATCACTGCAGGAATGGGTAAGCAAAATGTGGTGGATGCATACTAAAATATTAACACTATCATTCAGAAGCAATAAAGTTGTATTACATAAAGCAGCATGGGTGATTGTTTGAATGAATATTAAAAAGTTGACATAAGATTAAAAAAATTAAATTTAAAAATTAAAATTAATTAAAAATTGCAAACAGAATGAAGGACATAGTATAATGCCATTTTTATATAAATTACAAATGGATGGATACATAAAACACATCGTATACATCTCAAGAATCACATCGTATACATCTCAAGAATCACACATATCCAAAAACATCTGTAACAGAATGGTGCCCATCTTGAGGAGGCTGGTAAATAGAGTTAGAATGGAGGATGAAGGGCAAAATAATAGAAAGGGAAAAAAAATGGATACTTTTGCATGAACAATTGAGGTATGTGCTATGCATTAACACAACACCCTGCACTGAAGATTAAAAATACATAAATTAAACAGCCATAATGCTTGTACTCTGTAACATAAACAGGAAAGAATGTTACACGTGAACCAAAATATACACACATACTCTCTTGCTTCTTTACTGATTGTCCTAGAACATACCAGGATGGCATCATTTTCTTTAGGAAGCTTATGCCATCGCCCCCTGATCCTCAGTGATTTCTACCTATCCAATGACACTCTTCAATATGCAGTTTAAGTTCTACTTCTTTATAAAACCTTTTAAAATTTTCCATTCATGTAAATGTCTTCCTAAAACCAATTGTGTTTAAAAGCTGTACCACAGCATCTAAGACTTAAGAATTTATAGCCCTCTATTGCTCTGTATTACGTCTTACGCATGGCTTCCTTTACTACATGTTAACTTTCTAGAGATCATAGAAACTTCTTTGATGTTCTCTGTTGTTCCTAGAACAGTGTAGCATACATAGGATCTTAACAAACATTTGAATTAATAGATTTTCAGTTAGGATTTGGAATTGTGGTACAAAGGGATGGATAGGCAGGATCATAGCTGAAGGTTGAAAAAAATTATCTTTTTCCAACTGGATATAAGTTTTAAAAACGGAGAACAGAAATAGAATAACTGCTATCACATTGTGAATGGAGTAGCTCTCTAATCAATGAGAGAGATTAACTTTGTTTTAGTTTCTTCCCTTTTAAAGATCCCTTGCCTTTTCTTGGTGTTTTCTTGTGTAGGACATCTTTCCCTCAACAAATCTTCATATTTGAGAGCCAACCTATTTTTGCTTTCTTATTATCCCAGGCCATGATGAACTATCACAATTTTTTCCCTGAATTCTTAAAGAATTTTGTTTAAATTAAGTCTAAAAAATGAAACTAGTAAGAGCAACTCAGCCTTCCTCAATCTAGAACACTTTTAAGGGAATGTTTCTTTTTTGATGAAAATTATCCTTTTTTATGATTACCAAATGTATAAATTTTTTTTATATGTTAAATTGTGGCAGGTCATTCCTCCGGTAGACATGGAAGGGGAAAATGTCCAACATAGTGGAGTTGATAAACTAAGTTGTATCCTAACTGACATTCAGAATCTCATTTAGTTGTGCTCTACAAATGGTCTGAGTGAAAACCAAGGATTCTTTCTGGAAGGGAACGTTAATTTTGTGCAAGATCCAACAAGAACTTGGAGCTATGAAAGAAGACATATGTAGCTTGCTCAGCTTTTAGGACGGTGCAGATGTGGATTGACTCCAGGGAATGGTGGGATTGAAGGGAACATAATGCAAAGTGGAAAGAATCATAAATATAATGTAATATGCCATGGGTGCCATATCTATTTTAGTTACTTACTAGTTTTGTGATCTTGACCAAGTCAAAAACATCTTTGAAACTTCATTTTCCTTTTTGTGTGATAAGGAGGTGGGAAGATCTCTAATTCTTTTTGATTTATGAATGTTTTTATCAGCTAACAAGATCATTTTGCACAAAAAATAATTATGTACAGATACGTACTTAAGAACATAAGAGAAGCTGACCTTCACACATTTTAGCAACTGACTAGTGATGAAATAGACTTGAAGCAGAGAAATACAAAAAAATTTGTATTTGTATTCAACAAATATTTCTTGAAGGGATGGACCAGAAAAATGGAATAGTCCAGAGAGGAAATAAAGTCAGAAGAGAGCACCAAGGCCAAGGAAATTCTTAGGCCAAGCATGTAGGAAGCAGAAGAAGGAACTTACAAAGGCAGATAGGAGATGTCCTCTTTACCCAGGGATTAGTACCAGGGAAAAGCTATAGGAACCAGGTTAGCTGTAGCATAAAAGCACTGAGAGCTCAGTATTCATAGAGAAGAATAGCTAGCATGTTTTAGGGAATTAAGATTCACAGTAGAAATACCTACCCAAATATACATTAAACAACATGTCTGAACATTTGAGTGAGGCAAGGAAAGAGAGTGAGGAACTCAATGAAATCATCATAGCCTTTTAGAATTAGACAGACAAGAGTTTAAATTTAAGCTCTACCATTCACTAACAATATAAATATCGACAAGAAATTAATAATTTCTCTGAGACATCTAGAAAATGAAAATTTTAATTCTGAAAAATAAAAATTATAGTATCTACTTTCTAGAATTGTTTTGAAGATTAAACAAGTGAATATATGAAAAGGACCTAAAACATGCCTAACATGATTTATTCTTTATTGCTATTGTTATTATTGTTGTTGTTACTGTAGATTTTATGCCCAATAAGGTGTGTATCAACAAACTCAATATTTGTCTTGACTTCAGTTCAGAACTTGTAATTTATAAAGTAAATGACTTCTTTATTTTCTTCTATGTGTGCTTTTTTCCTCTTTAATGTTCTTTGAAAGCCTCCTCCCTACCACCAAATTCTAACTTTGTCTTAGCAGAAAGAAGGAAAAAGCACCTTTCCACACTCAGTCCAGGGCAGCTAAGTTGCTTGCATGGCTGTGGTCTGACCAACTAGGCCCAGGGTTTCAGACGAGCAGAAGTGTTAGGGCAGAACCAGGAGCAGGGCAGAAGGACGCCATTCAGGCATGGTCGAAGTTCTTTATGTGATTCCATGCAAGAGGTGGACTCTACCACATTCAAATGCACTTAGAACACCTTCCCAGTTAAAGACTATGTCCTCCTCGAGTGTTCACTTATTTAAATAATACCTTCATTTGAGTGGAGAGTAAGGGTGAATATTGTTTTCTAAAGGTTACTGGTTTATAAGATGCATACTTTTAACAGTATATAAAGCTAGATATGATGTCAAAACATTTCAATTAAAAAGATTAACTAGGCTGGGCGCGGTGGCTCACGCCTGTAATCCTAGCGAGGCCGGGGCAGGTGGATCGCTCAAGGTCAGGAGTTCGAGACCAGCCTGAGCAAGAGCGAGACCCCTGTCTCTACTAAAAAAAAAAAAAATAGAAAGAAATGATCTGGACAACTAAAAATATATATACATAGAAAAAATTAGCCGGGCATGGTAGCACATGCCTGTAGTCCCAGCTACTCGGGAGGCTGAGGCAGTAGAATCCCTTGAGCCCAGGAGTGTGAGGTTGCTGTGAGCTAGGCTGACGCCATGGCACTCACTCTAGCCCGGGCAACAGAGTAAGACTCTTGTCTCAAAAAAAAAAAAGAAAAGAAAAGATTAACGAGAAAATTAAGATTTGTTACAGACAATGCGTTACTACTGATAACTTTTCAGTAGGTATACTCAAGTCAACAAACCATAGGGGTTGTTTATCACTGCTAAATCAAATTTTCAAAGAAATTTAGGTCTGGTGAAATGTGTTAGACTGTTAAGAAAAACTGTTAAAAATTATTTGATTTAGTTTTGAAATTACGTTCACCCCTAGGAGGTTTTGACTGTCAGAAACGGGCCTCATTCTGTTACGTGTAGATTAGTTCTCCAGCTTAAAACTCCCTGATCAAACACAGTTTTGACGTTATCTCACTAGTTATCAGGCCAGCAGACTATTTCAGTTTAAAGATGGTAAAATATAGGGCCAGAGTAGGCCAAAAGTAGAAAAAGATGGAGGCAGGGCTATGTTTCATTTCTAATTTTTGACACAAGCTTTCCCAGCAATCTCAGTTCCACAATCCCAGATAGAAAGTATGATTTATCTGAGAAAAAGATGTCTTAACTATGAAGCTGTGTGTGAAGCGGAAACACTCAGGTAAAGTCGTGTGACCAAACAGCAGAAAATGGAGAGTGTGCTGCACACAAGTGTGTTGGACATTTGTTTGGTTTGCTTATTTGCTTAAAGAATCCGTTGAGAGGGATGGACGAGAAGACAGACTTGCATTGACTGATCAAGGGACTGTGACGGGGAACCCGTAAGGTGCTGAGATACTGAGATAGGAGAATGAGGTGTGAGGGAAAACAAGGCTGGAGTCTAGAACAAAGGCACTGTTAGGTAGCAGACTGCAATTTGAAGCGGCTCAGGGATCCCCGAGGACTAGCCCGAGAGCCGCGAGCCGGCAGGGACCGGCAGAGACCCCAGGAGGCAAGCCTCCGCCGCGGTCCCGCCCCCGGAGCCCCGCCCCAGCCTGGGATCGGCCAATGGGAGCCCGGGATGTTAGCGGGTGGGAGGCGCGGCCGGGTAGCTAGAGCCAGAGCTGGGCGGTGGCGGGCGCAGCCTGAGGAGTCTCGCCGAGCCCGAGGCGGTGGCGCAATGGAGGGACTGGAAGGTGAGGAATTGAAGGGATGCGGGTCGGGCGTTTAGAGCGGGCCTGGAGCTGCTGGGGAGTCCTGGACATCAGTTCCAGGGAGGCAAGGGCAGGTCCGGAGCGGCGGACTCCACCGCGCCTCCGGAGGCCCGGGCTGGCGGGAGCGGAGAGTCCCCGACGCGGCGGAGCGAATGACTCCCAGGCTGCCCCGCCTTAGACGGTCTTCAGCCGGGCTTGCCCACCCCGAGTCTGAGCCTGCCTCTGGCACACGTCTGCACGTCCCTTCCTACCATTTTCTAATCTTGCCTGACTACTGAGCGTCCTTTTGGTAATCTCAGTCTCTGGCCAGATTTTTTTCTCCTTGCAAAGTGGACTCTCCATTAATGTCCACGGCCTCTCCAGCACCAGGCTAGTCTTTTCTGGGGACCAGGGGTGTGTCTCCAGCCTCTAGCTCCTGACACATTCCTTGGCCAATTTCCCTGGATAACCGTTTTTTACATTTCGACGGCATCTTTTATCGGAGGAATGCCAGAGCATCTCCTAAGGAAGTGTCACTGGCTAGCTTTGGAGCCGGTACAATAGATCGCCAGAAGGATTTAATGGCTTATTCACGACCGCTGTGTAAGGAAGAGCCAGCATTGGTTCCTTATCTTTGGGTTTATCCTTGTGCTGTAACCATGACTCCAGATTTTGCTTTGTTCCCAGTTCTTTCACTTTTTCTCTATTCTGTTGACTCGTTTTATCCTGTGTAATGACAGCATTCGCCTAGAAACAAAGGAAGAAAAAAGCCAACTAGCGTTGTCAACAACAGTTTCAAGATTTTTTGATGAAGAACAAACCTTCAGAACTGATTAGCTCTTTTTTTTTCCCCTTCCTAATTTACGTGGATTCAGGTGGAATTAAGAATGAGCAGAGGCATTTAATCCTGTGTAATATTGCATACTAGAGAGTAAAATATTGTAGGTTGTGTTATGAAGTGAAAAGTGGTAGCGGTAATATTTTCAGTGACCCAAGGGCACCAAAAAGCAAATGTAATAACGTGAGGTGAGTTTATTTCCTACTTTTGCTCCGTGTTAAAGCCCTCATAGTAAATACCTGGAGGATGATAGATAAAGAATTTTGATAATTTTGGACAGCTGCAGTATGCTGTGACCTGTGAAGTTCTTGTTCTTTGCTTACTTTACTAGGAAGATAATTCAAGTTTCCATGAAATACGAGATTGTAATGATAGTACAATTCCTTACTTTCAAGATACTTTTGTTTAGGGAACTCCTCAGGAGGCACTTATTTTTTATTTTAATTATTTTAAAAACGTAGTGGTATTATGGTCATAGTGGGTAGGTGCATTGTTTCTGAAATTCTCGTAAGGTTATCATTATATATAATATGAGATCTTATATACAAAGTGCTTTTGAACAGGGTGCAAATTATTATTCAACATTTGTTATTAAGACAAAGATCTTTATTTGATTTTTCACTTATGTATCCTAAGCAACTAACACAGTGTCTAACAGAAAGTACTCAATAAATATTTGTTATTAAATAAATGACTTTGTCTATGATGGGCATCATTCTAGGCCCTGAGGATGCAGTAAAGGATCATAACAGTCAAAGCCCCACGCTCATTGAACCGATATTTTAGTGGACCTTACATTTTAGCAGTGCTATGACATTACTATTGGAACCTTACTAAGAATGCTTTTAAAATATAGTGGAAACCTATTATAATACTCAGTTACATAGGTGGAGAAATACATAGATTCCATATGTATGGTCGGTGCTGTTTTATGCATGGGCCCAGCTTTTGTTATATCATGTTAAACAGTACTTGCTGTTTATTCTTTGATTTTTTTTCCCTTACAAAATGAAATGCTGTCATTAACTATGATGTGTTTAATTGTAATGAATTAGGTTGAAATATATGAAGTTGCCCTTTTTGTAGGGCAAAACAGTTGAATATTGGTAATTTCAAGGGATTCATCCTAATAAAGTAAAAGCTCTGAGAGTTTGCTATTGAAGACAGTGTCTTTCTCCACCCTCCTCCCACTTCCCCTAATAGATCACACTTTGTAAAACCAAAACTTCAAATCTTAAGGATATCATTCATTGATTTATTTATTCATACCTTCATTTAATAAACATTGATACAGTGACAAAATTTCTTACCTGTGTTGGAAGTTAAAGTCTAGTACTTTGCAAGTGTCTAATAACATTATTTTTCTATATTTAGTAAAAATTCTTCAAAAGTTTGCTTAATGTGTCAGAGTAATTGAGTAAATATTGTGCTCTTTGACATTAGATTGATGGTTCTAGTTGTAACCACTTACCAGACTTACCTTGGTTGTGAAACCAGAAAATATATGGATTCTTTAAAAATTCTATTGAAGATATGTTACTCTTTCTTATAGCTTTTATATTATTTGCATATAGGTCATATACAACTTATATTATTTTTGGTCTTCTGGATCTTTTATGATTCCTGGATTCTCAAGGGGTGAGCTGTTAGGCCGAACACTATATTTTGAAACCAAATATAAGTTATTGCTCATGATTTTGTATTATCTATATCTGAGCACTTTTGAATTGTGTGGGTAATTACAGCAAAGCCTCTAATTCCTTTTCACCTAAGGTTCATGCCCTATAGAATTATATACAGGCAAAGAAGTATTTCTAGACTTTGAAAAGTTCCAATCTCTTATAATCTTTTTCATCTGTGAAATGAAGAGGTAATAAAGTCCAAGCAGATTTTATCCTTATATATAGTATTGTCATTCCCTTCCTAACACCCTGATAAATAGATACAACAATTGTGGCAGAGATCAGCTGTCCATTCCTTTTAGACTGCTGAGATTATCAGACTTCAGTACTGCACTCTAAAGCTTGGCTAGAAGTCTGTTTGCTCTTCTGCATTATTGTGCTTCATCTAGTTGAAGACGGCCATCACGTCCCATCAAGGTTTCTGCTTTATTTTTCCGTAATATAAGCATGTACTAGTTTATGAATAATACTTCATCTTTTTTAACTTATCTAGCATTTATTGCTTTTTGGTACTGAGTTGGATGCCAGATATTTTAATAGCCAGTATATTGGAGAGGCCTGTGTTCAAATCCTTGTTTTGTTTCCTTTTAGCTCTGATTTAGGCAGTTTATTTAATCTGAACCTCAGTTTTCTCAGCTATAAAAAAAAAAATGGAACTGTTAAATACTAAACTAACTGAACTGTATTAAGTATTAAATGATGTAACATATATAAAGCATCTAGCTAAGTGCCTAGTACATAGGAAGCCCCCTCAGTATGTGCTTATTGGATGGATAAGGGAGCTTAAGAGCGGACCAATATAGGTAAAATATAGCATGCTTGGGAGGAGAGAAGGAACTTTAAAGGTGGAAGAGATTTATCAGCAATGCCTCATACTGTTGAAAGGTCCAGCAGGATGAAAATTTAAGAGAGGGCTTCTAATTGGCCTAATGGTAGATTAATGGTGATCAGTTACTTCCTTTTTTTGAGGCCTTTACTCAATATCTCCTTATTAATGAAGCTTTCCCTGATTCCACCCACTTCTCAAAGACTGTCTTCTCTCCTTACTCCATTCGTTCTTCATTGTGCTTATCACCACCAGACATTTTATATATTTGTTTTTATTCATTTTTTTCCCTGTTAGAACAGTAAAAGCTCTGTAAGATCAGAGTCTTTTGTTTTTCCATCCCTGTATCCCTACCTCCTAGAACAGTTTACGTCTCATGCTAGGTACTCAACAAATATTTAACAAATCAATGAATAGACCTGTTTTAATACAGTGATTGGCCTGATAAAGTTTGTGTGCAATTCAAATAGCAAGTGAATGAAAGATAGGGACTAAGCAGAAAATGTAAGTCAGTATTTTAAAAAATGTGCTACTTTAGAACATTGATCCTGAATGTCTCTTGAGGGTAGAAAGGATTTCTGATGAAATAAGTTTAGGGAAATAAAGGCATACTAAATCTGTTTTTTAAGACTGAGGAAGTTCTGCTTTACGAAAACCCATTTAACTTAGTTTTATATCGCATTTTCCACACGTTTGACTGTGGAGCAAGGGATTTGAGAGTGATTAGTAGTAGAAATGACTGGTCATGTTCAGACTGGGTAGGAAGAGAAGTGCAGCCAGGAATGAAAATGCAAGTCATTCTGAGATCACAGTAGTGACTTAAAGGTAGAAGTCTGTGGTTAGAGAAGGAACTTGAGTATTTAAGAAGTCCAGAGGTGGACTCTAAATTGTTTTGGCAGTAGTTTTGCTAAAGTAGAGTTCAGGTAACTAAATTGCAGTGGTGGGTGAATGTTGCGTGTTGAGTAGGTTAAGTGTGAATGTTGAAATGTTGAAGTCTCCTGGGATGAGCTGAAGAAGAAAAATCTTTTGAGATAATGGATATTGTTGATCTGAAAGTAATTAGATTTTGGAAAAGATCTTGGGAAGAAAGTGGTATAACAGATATTGTGCTTCAAAGGAGAGGTTTCTTGAGTGTTAAAGCTTAGATTCAGATTAGCTGTGATAGAATAAAAGACTGACAGCAGTGAGGAGATAGATATTCTACAATGGAGGCCACAAGTGTTAATTTCTGAGATTTCTTTTGAAAATATTCAATCCTAATTTCTTAAATATATACATTTTAGAATGTCACAACTATTTTATATATTGTTTTACCTCACCTGTATAATAGTATTATATAAGGATATCGTTTCAAGTCTTACTATTGTGCAGGCTTTGAAGTTGTGAAATATAGCAACTCAGTATGGAATCATGGGTGCTGGTTAAATTTTGTAAGGAGACATTGGCTTCTTGAGAGTTCTAGAATATTAAAGTACTTTATTGATTTGGTTCTGTTCATCAGTTTGAATGCTTCTTTCAATAATGTTTGCTCTCTGCTACAATCTTCACTCATCTGAATATCGTATCATATTTGTAATTTTGTAAGCTGCAAGATTTGCTAGTTTTTGCCACTTAGGTGAGGTTAGTGGAGTTTGCCTGCATGCCTGGGAAAGTAGGGTTTTTTTATTTCTATAGGTTGTGAATCCTCTCAAATTTTAAGGTAGATTGAGCAGATATTATCTTCACTTAACAGATACTAGCCTCAGTGCACTCATATGATTGGTCATACATTCACTTCTAATTCATGTAGTGAGGACTTTTCCAACAAGGAAGGAGATGTCATATTCTATGCTGTAGGTCCTTTCAGATTCTCAGTTTTCTGTGTGGTCAACTGGAAGTAATTTCCTCAACATAATGTGTACTACCTGAAACATTCATTCTATCACCTGCAGTTAATTTAATCATTCTTATATATGAACTTTTAAAAAAATATAACACCAGAAAGAAAAGTATCTTGTCATCCGTGTATTTTTCTTGCTAATATGGTCTTAAGGTAGATTTTGTTGAATTGTAATACATTATAGATAAAAGGGGACCGCTCGTGTCATTTAATCCAACTTCCTTATTTTATACGAGCAGAATCTGAACTTTAGGTTAAATATCTTGCCCAGGAACTCATGGTTCTCAGTGACAGAGCTAGGACTTGAGCTTAGATAATATAAGACAAATTCCAGTGCTGCTTCTACTACACTGTCATGTCTTGTAATGAATACCATTAGAATAAAATGTGGCTTTTGACTCTAAGACCTAAACTATTTATCATGACCTGGGTAGAAGTTGTCTTTAATAAGGTGTTTAAAAATCATTTTATTAATAACATTTGATTTATCCAGATACACGATGGTTATATTGGTTTTAATCAAGTGAAAGTTATAGCTACCTCACCATTATTTAATTAATTATACCGGGGAGGTCAGAATATCTCAATTTACTGGTCCAATGACTATTAATATAAGTATTATATGTATAAAATAATGAACAATTCACATAATACATGCAGTTTGTATAACTAGGTGATCTTATCCATAAAGCATTATACCTTCTATTATCTGGTGATAAACAAAACAAGATTCTTTTTATTCCATATGCCTTAGATCATCTCAGGAAGTCACTTAACCCATCACCAATGATAGTTCTTCATGCCTTGTAGATTAGTAAGGTAAATTTGATTTTTAAAGTTTAGTAATTTACAATAGAGATAGTGCATAAGTTAAGAGGATCTGACAAATTGATTTGATTAAAATAATTACAAGAAAACTAGGTATTTCCAACAATATCAACTTGGTTATCCTTTAATTCTGACTTTTCTATATTTATCCTGGTCTTTTTGACTTTGGTAGCACTAAGTCTTGTTACCATTTTAATTGATAATTTTGCTTATTTCAAAGTGAAATGAGACATTTTACAAGAACTGACAACTTACCCATGAAATTGAGAGAAAGCATTAAAATAAGTTGAAAAATTGTTCCTAATGTTGAGGAAATCTCTGTTTTTGTTTCATAGAAAAAAGTTATAGCACGTGTAT